TGAGTGGTCACATGCTTTCCTTGATGCAAACACTGCCAGCAAGAAACCAAAGCTTTTGCTTAAATAAATCTGTTCAACAGCTGCTTCAAATTCAACCTAACAGATCCCTTGGGGGATAAAGCCGCTGGACCTCGCCGAGTTCAACGTGCACGCTCTCATTCCGGCCTTCGAGCAGCATTTTCACTAGCATCTTTATAGAATTATTCAACACTGAAAGTGGGTAGCTGTGGCCTATAATTTGAGAGATCTTTAATTTAGCATAATTATAAGGACACTTCTGAAATTAACGTCCGAATAGCCGAAGGCGCTCCATGACTCCACCGACACCTGACTTCAACACCCTCCTTCTTTCCTCTTCTACGCCTACCCCGTCTCTTCCCCAAAATGATGCTTCAATTCAGAGTTCTTTACTAATTTAAGTACTTTATTTGTTGCAATGGAGTTTATTAAACCTCTCTAATGAATATATTAGCAGTTTTGGGTTAGTTTTCCGTCAAAAGCATTCATTGATAAGGAATCTTCAAATGTGAATATTCCAGCAATTTTCTCCATGCCATTGGATCAAGAATAATTTGCTGGGGCTGCCCCACAGGCTAGCGGTTAAGTTCGGCATGCTCTACTTTGGCGGCCCTGGTTTGGTTCCTGGGTGTGGACCTACAACACTGTCGGTGGCCATGCTGTGGTGGTGACTCACATATGAAAAAAAAAAAATAGAGGCAGACTGGCACGGATGTTAGCTCAGGGAGAATCTTCCTCAAGCAAAAAAAGAAAAAAAGAGAATAATTTGCTGTAATATTAACTTTCTCTGGAAGGTATCTGCATACATTTGAACTAAATTCATAATTTTTCAAAATAAGCCCTAAATTAAAAAAAAAAAAACAAAAACTATTCTGTATTAAAACCCAAACAATTTTCATACTACTTTCCTTTCCAGGAATAAGAACACATAAAGCAATGTGGTCCTGACATGTCTTGGTAGGAAATAAATGTGCACTGAACTTCCCCTCTTCAAAACAGAGACACACTCTGTCCTGCGGCCTTGGGAACAAAAATGAAGGGCAGCCCAAGGGGGCAACTCATGGCCAAAAGTCAAGCCCAGGCTGTGGGGGTCCAGGTAGCTCTCTGTTAGGGGCCACACATCCACTGGGATGTGGCCACACTGCCTGTCTGTAGCACCTTTGCTGTATCATCCTAACCACACTGATGGCCCATCCTAACTTCGGATTCACACTCTGGGCCCGCAGAGTGCTTGAACTTGACAACTGTCCCTCTCACAAAGCCATCCACTGTTAGGTCTTAGAGGCACGAAGTCTTCACCATCTTCTGTAGACCAAGCAAATTGTTGTTTAATTGCAGTAAAATGCATCTAACATAAAATGAAGCATCTTAACCATTTCTAAGTGTGCAGTTCAGTAGTGTTAAGTACGTTTGTGTTGTTGAGCAACTGATCTCTAGAACTCTTTCATCTTGCAAAACTGAAACTCTGTCCCCATCAATCAAAAGCTCCCCATCCCCCACCCCTCGGCCCCTGGCGCCACCATTCTACTTTCTGCCTCTGTGAATGTGACCGCTCTGGGTACTGCATACAAGTGGAGTCATTTGGTATCTGTCTTTCTGTGCAAGCAAATGTTTTTAACCCTAATCATGTCACATCAAATTCACAGCCAGAAAGCAGAATATCTGAAAACTTGAACTTTATGAGTAAATATGTAAAACACACTCTCACACAAACACACGTACTCACAGACACACACTTCTTCCTGAGCTTGGGACAAAGTCCATCTGTGGGGGCCCCTGAAGGCCTGTTTTGTGAAACTGCTGCTCCAGGTGTTTCATCTGGATTAGCAGAAAAGAAAGGTGTGCTGTGGCAAGCGGGACGGGTCAAGGTCTTTCAAGTTATACAAGATTGGGCCTGCAGAGAGGGTGCTCAGGACGCACCCTGGAGCTGAAACCCGACATGAAACCGGTTGCAAAAGGGAACCGCAGCCACCTCCGAGATCAAACCCAGGGCCAGGTGTGCAAAGGAGCCTCGGGGCTCGGAGCTCTGGCCTGGGAATTTCACAAAAGACTCGTCTGGTTCTGCAGGTTTGGCTTTGAGGACTTGTTTCCATGCCTCCCAATGTTATCTGCACCTCCTGTGCCAACTTGGCCCAGGGTCAAGGTGGGTTGGATCCAGGAGGAACGAGGGAGCAGGTGTCCAGAGGATTGCGACAGGAAGCCCATTACGAACAACTTCTTACTGTCTCCACTCTGAAATCCACTGTGTTCTTACCTTACAAAACATTCTGGATACTTTGCTCCAGGGTGGAAGGCTCGGCTGGCTGCCCTGCTGGTGGCAGGGCCAATGTGGGGCCAGCACAGGCCAACAGCCTGGGCGCCCTGTACTCTCAGGGCACACAGTGCAGCCGACCTCTGGCTTCTCCCATGTTCCCGAGGTGGGGCATCTGGAATGCGGGTGGGGTGGGGCCCTCATTGAGGGCTCAGGACTATTACTCCTCCCGTCTCCCTCTGCTTTTGCTGCTGTGCAATTTATCTGAATAGTTCCACCCTCCCTTCAAGGCTTCAAGGGACTGGTGGCCTGTCCGGGGGGTGCTCCGACTGTGCAAGACGTGGCCGCTTCTGGGGCCTGGCAGGTGGGCTCACCAGGGAGGCGTCTCCACGGGTCACCAGGTCTCTATTCCTGAGCTGGAGCCCGCAAAGCCCTGGGCACCTCTCCACGCGGCTGGGGCTCCCCAGGCTCCTGCCCTGCCTTCCTGGAAGACTTGTTCCTGGGGGGGCCCAGACAGCACCGGCTCCCAACCTGCACGTGATCCCAGGCTTCCGGGGATGCTGACATTTTCATGGGGTCCCGTGTAATATTCTGGCTGGCTCACGAGTTGGGGGATGAGGGGACTTCCTCAGGATGCTAGCGGTGGCCATGGTGGTTTGGGCTGGGACAGATGTGGGTGTGTGGATGAGTGATGTGGGGACACCCTCCACACGCCTCCTCTCCTCTCCCGGATAATCCAGCTGCTTTCTCCCCCCATCACTCCCCGCACTGGCTGGAGGGAAGCTGAATGCGCAGAGGCTGTCCTCTGTGCTCGCTCCCTCCCTCCTTCCCTCTCGCCCTCCCCTCTTCTCTCCTTCTCTTCTCTCTCTAACAGTTTAGCAGTTTGTTAAAAGTGAAACGGACATTTACCCTAAGACCCAATAATTCCACTTCCAGCTGTTTACCCAAGAGAAGTGACAACACGTCCACACAAAGACTTCCATAAGAACATGCATAGCAGCTGTGTCCATAACTCCAAACTGGAGACACCGCAGATGTCCATCATCGATGAACACGTGGGGCACATCCCTACAAAGGAATACCACTCAGCACTAAAAAGGAGGGGGCTGCTGAGACCGACAGTAACATGAATTAATCTCTAAAACATTAGGATGAGGGAGTGAGATAAGCCTGACACAAACAGCTACCTGCGGGATGAGTCCATTTGTATAGGATTCTGGAACAGGAAACTAGCACGAGAAAGCCGCCATTGCCAGGGCCCGAAGCGCCGGGCACACGGGGCTCTTTAGAGGGATGGAAATGGTCTGGATCTTGATTGTGTTGGGGGTTACATAGGTAAATACACTTGTCAAAACTCATTTAACTAAACCTATAAAAATGAATAATTTATCCTGTGTAAATAAAATACTTGAATAAAGGTTTGGTTTTGTTTTTTTAAAGCAGCTTAGTCTAGCTTCCCTGAGTGGGTGGCACAATTTTTGCCTGGAAACGGAGGCTGGAATGACAGGCATCCTGACCAACGTGTCCAGCACAAATACTTCAGTGGCACAGAGGCCCATTGTGATCAGACCAGAGTCCCTCTCCAGCCTGAGCTGCTCCTGGCCCGGAGCCCCAGCCGGCACCAACGATGTGCCATTCCCTCTGTGAGCTGTGCCTTTTGACACTTCCATAGCTTTGACATCCTCCTCTCTTTGCCTTCAATACCCTCCATCCCCACCTTCTTTGCTAGGAAAGTTCGTGAATCCTCAAAGCCTGACTCGCGTCCCTTCCCCCCTCCTCTGGGCGCTCATGATGGCTGCACTAGTCATACTGTACTATACCCTCTCTGCTGCTCAGTCCTCCCACAAGTCCATAAGCTCCGCGAGGTCATCCACGACACTGCCGTATTTCTCTCTGCGTCCCCCGAAGCACCTAGCACATGCTCTCAAACATAGCAACGAAACATTCCTTGAATGCCTGTTAGGCAACATAGCAGGCCTAAATAAATTCTCACAGAGAAGTAGATGTTATTCTCCCCACCTCGCAGATGAGGAAAATGCAGCTCAGAGAGTTTAGGCAATGACGTCAAAGGTGAGACGTGGCAGAGTTAAGTCTAAGGCTTCAAAGTCTGTCCTCTTTACCTTCACTCACTCAGTCAACAAACACCAAACGCCTGCTGCGCCGTGGGTACTGTGCTAGTGTTCCTAGGGGGTGAAGTTCAGTCCCCGCCTTCAGAGAGCTCAGACAGGAGCAGAGCTCCCAGAGTGGGCAGCATCCCGGAAGGAAACATGAGTGGATGGATGCGTCCACCTGCCTTTCCTCCTCTCTGCCATCTGCACCAGCATGCACCAGCATGTGCAGTGGATGCCACCATTTCCTCTCCCCCTGCCCCACCCCCACCCACCCAAGATGAATCCATAGGCCCTCAGCACACCCCATCTCAAAGGCAGCCAGCCCCGGATCCTCTGATTCGTTCAGCCAATGGACTTATAGTTCTTTGGTGGGCTTCTTGTTTTGTATTTTATTATAAAAATCTGGGTGAGGGGCCAGCCCTGTGGCCGAGCGGTTAAGTTCGGGCGCTCCGCTTCGGCGGCCCAGGGTTTTGCCTGTTCGGATCCTGGGCAAGGACATGGCACTGTTCATCAAGCCATGCTGAGGCGGCATCCCACATGCCACAACTAGAAGGACCCACAACTAGAAATACATAACCATGTACTGGGGAGCTTTGGGGAGAAAAAGGAATAATAAAATCTTTGAAAAAAAATCTGGGTGATTTATTCACTAGGTTTATGCAGGCACTGCTTGCTTTTTTGCCAGAGTTTGAGCTTGGAGGATGGGCCGCCACGTGGAGGGAGCCGTTCGGTTTGTCGGTTACCCACTGGAAGGCTCTGTGGTGCCTAGAACACCGTGGGTAAGGGTCCAGATGTTCGTCATGAAGAAGTTTTGTCCATTTCGTTTTCTGAAAATTGATTTTGAAAGAGTGAACTTTCCCAGTCAGATTTTTAAAAAATCTTTCATTTCCTATGTCTGCCTGCAACATGTCAGGAAATAGCTCAGAGATAATTGTACCTTTCTTGAAAACAAAGTATAACGTTTTATTTGGGGCCAAATGTTCCCTGTTTTCTCCTTCTTTTCCAATTCACTGGTAGAACAGATAAAACTGTGCTACATATTTACTTACTTCATGGTACCACCCAGAACAATGCAATTTAGAAATTAGTACCTGTATTTTACTTTACGTTTTCATAAGGATTAAACCTGTCATCGAAATATGATGAAACCAAATTACTGCCACTCATAACAACACAGATGAATGTCATAAACATAACACTGAGTGAGGAAAAAGGATCCAGAAGAGTACATACGCATTATGATTCCATTTACCTCAGGTCCAAAAAGAGGCACACAGGACCTGTGGGAAAGGAAGTCAGGGCGGAGGTTACCATGGGGGCGTGACTGCCAGCGGGGCCCAGGGGCTTCTGTTCTACTTCTTTCTTTTCTTTTCTCTTTTTTTTGAGGAGGATTAGCCCTGAGCTAACATCTGCTGCCAATCCTCCTCTTTTCTGCTGAGGAAGACTGGCCCTGAGCTAATATTTGTGTCCATCTTCCTCTCATATTTATTGAATTTTTCTCTTTGAACTCTGAATATTTATATCATTAAAAATCAGGAGAGTTAGACCAAAATCCAGATTTCTGGCTTCTCTTAATCAGAAAATCTGATGACAAGGGACCTATGTTCCTGATTGGCAACAATTGGCTGACTCATATTTGTTTTATCAGCACCTGTCAGGTGACAGGCACTTGCATTGTGCCAGGACTGGGGATTAAAAATGAATGAGATGAGATCTCTGTTCTCAAGCAATTAGAATCGAAAAAATAAGATAAGAGAGGTACACCAATATTTATAATACAAGCTAGAATGTGATAAGTGTCCTAAGAGATTTATAAAAAGCTATAAAATTCCACAGAAGGGAGAAATCACATATCAATGGAGAACTCGCAGAGGCCTTTACCATTTTTTCCAACTATAAGATAAAACATTCTCTGGGGCCAGCTCCGTGGCCGAGTGGTTACGTTTGCGCGCTCCGCTGCTGCGGTCCGGGGTTCGGATCCTGGGCGCGGACATGGCACCGCTCATCAGGCCACGTTGAGGCAGCATCCCACATCCCACAACTAGAAGGACCTGCAACTAAGATATACAACTGTGTACAGGGTGGGATTTGGGGAGATAAAGCAGGAAAAAAAAAAAAAAAGATTGGCAACAGTTGTTAGCCCAGGTGCCAATCTTTAAAAAATAAATAAATAAGTAAAATAAAATAAAACATTCTCACTGTGGAAAAATTAGAGGATTCAAACACACAAAAGACAACTGAAAAACAATCATAATAATTCCACACATTCAGGTATGTTTCTTCCAATCTTATTTTTTATGTGTGTATCTTAATAAAACTGACATATCACATTATAGCCTGCTTGTAGTTGCCCAACATATGGTGTGAACATTTTCCAAGTCATTACAGTTTGTTTCAGAATCCTGATTTTTAAAATTGCCGCATTTTATCTCATAATACAGATGCATCAACTTTATTTTATCTATTGCCTATTGTTGAGCATTTTGATTGTTTTTACTTTTCTGCTATCATGAAGAATGCTAAGGTAAATCTACTTATTTGCAAATATTTGTCCCCAGCTACAGAAAATTTCTTGAAACAAGTGTCATTTAGACTCTGCCAAAGTTTGTAAAAAGTGTACAGAGGAGTGGGCCCCGTGGTCAAATGGTTAAGTTTGCGCATTCCACTTTGGCAGCCTGGGATTTCACCAGTTCAGATCCTGGGCGTGGACCTAGCACTGCTCATCAGGCCATGCTGAGGCAGCGTCCCACACAGCAGACCTAGAAGGACCTACAACTAGAATATACAACTATGTACTAAGGGGCGTTGGGGAGAAGAAGAAGGAGAAAAAAGATTGGCAACAGACGTTAGCACAGGTGCCAATCTGAAAAAAAAAGTGTACAATGAGGCAGAGTAATACTTGAGAAAGGCGATGACCACTAAGACAGGCCACCAAGGAAAGCACCCTGAGAACTAACTACTACTATGTAGGGCGTGCTTTTGCCCTAAAACTTTTCAGGTATTTGCATTCAGTCTTTATAATTTTTGCAATATCTGTATACCAATTACACAGATTTATATATAAATATTATATGAAATAGTTATATAAAATATAAATTACATTTATAATATAATATAAATACATTATATAAATGTAACATAATAGAAACAAAAGTGTATTATAAACATTATAATTCACAATAATTATGTAAATTTTAATTTTTAATTTTATTTTGGAAGAAGCCTGGCCCTGAGCTAACATCCATGCCCATCTTCCTCTACTTTCTATCTGGGATGCCTACCACAGCATGGCTTGACAAGCAGGGCGTAGGTCCGCACCTGGGATCCGAACTGGCGAGCCCTAGGCTGCCAAAGTGGAAAGTGCGAACTTAACTGCTGTGCCACTGGGCAGGCCCTAATTATGTAAATTTATATATATAAAGACTTAGCTTTTAAAAATTAAGTCCATTTATATATTTAATAAGGAAATTTTACATCACTACCTCACATGGAAAAATCAGATAGACATACAGATCACTGGACTAGAACAGAGCATCCAGAAATAGTGCACACATGTATGGACAACCAACTTTTGACAAGGGTGCCAGGGTAAGTCAGTGGGGAAAGGTGTGAATGTGAATGGTGCACCCACTTTGGAACAGTCTGTCAGTTTCTTATAAAATTACTTACCATAAAACCTAGCAATTCCACTTCTAGGCATTTAACCAAGAAAAATGAAAATATACATACAAAAATATTCATAGCAGCTTTATATCCCCAAACTGGAAATAACCCAAATGTTTATCAACAAACGAAGGGATAAATAAGTTGTGACATATCTATATAATAGAATTCTACTCAGCAAAAAAAACAAAAACCAAAAAAAAAATGATAAAAAATTACTAAAGACAACAATGTAAATGAATATCAAAAACACTGTGCTGAGTGACAGAAGACAGACACAAAAGACCACATGTCATGTGACTTCATTTATATGAAATGCCAGGAGCTACAAATTTTTTTTTTTTTTTAAGGAAGATTAGCCCCTGAGCTAGCATTTGCTGCCAATCTTCCTCTTTTCTGCTGAGGAAGACTGGCCCTGAGCTAACATCCATGCCCATCCTCTACTTTATATGTGGGACGCCTACCACAGCATGGCTTGCCAAGCAGTGCCATGTCTGCACCCAGGATCCGAACTGGCAAACCCCAGGTCGCCGAAGCAGAATGTGTGCACCTAACTGCTGCGCCACCAGGCCGGCCCCCAACAAATTTAATCTACATGACAGAAAGGACCCAGGGCTGCCTGGGGCTGGGGGTAAGTGGTAAGGATGAATGAGAAGGAGCACAAGTCAGCTTTTTGGGGTGCTACAAATGGTCTATATTTTGATGACAATGGTCATTATATATTTGTCAAAACTCAAAGAACTATACTCTTAAAATAGGTGTATTTAAGTTGATTTTAAAAAATCCTTTCCATTCTCACCACACACACACACAAAAGGTAACTGTGTGAGGTGATGGATGTGTTAACTATTCTTATTGTGGTAATCATTTTGAAATATATATATGTATAACAAATCATCACGTTGTACACCATAAACTTATATCATGTCATATTTCAATTATATATCAATAAATCTGGGAAAAAAATTAAAAATTCCTATGACAAAAAAAGCCCCAGAAAACCAGGGCTGGCCCCGTGGCGCAGCAGTTAAGTTCATGCAGTCTGCTTTGGCAGAGGTTCACCGCTTCGGATCCTGGGTGTGGACCCACATCGCCTACCAAGCCATGCTGTGGCAGCATCCCACATACAAAATAGAGGAAGACTGGCCCAGATGTTAGCTCAGTAACAATCTTCCTCACGAAAAAAAAAAAAACCCATTCTGGCGTCACACAAGATGCTCAAGTAGGAAGCTTTAGGGGTCAGTCTCTCCTCCACCAAAGCAGACTCTGAGCTGGAAAGAGGATTGTGGTTGACTGTTTCAGAACTCTGAAACCTGATCACTGACAATGACCAGGAGAGTGGAGAGGCTGCTGCTGTTTCATAACGATTCCACTGCTCATTCCTCAGCCCCACTGGGACTGCGGGGGCAGCAGCCAGGTTCCTGCAGTGGCTGCACTGGTGCCAGGATGCGCAGTGGGGCTCTTGTCCTTCAGCACTTTGGGGCTGTGTGTCTGGGCTGGTCTGATGGTTCCCCGAGGGGAGGGTGTGGTCACTTGTCTTGGGCTGCAGCAGCTTCCCCAGAAGTATCTGCTGGAGGATTTAAGGGATCAGAACCTTTTTTGGGGACTCTTTCTAGGTCACTGGCTGACTGCAGAGATGATGGAATAGAAACTTTGGTGACCACATGCAATAAGGAATACACACTTTATGACAAGAGTTTGGAAAAGACACAAAAGGAGGGTTCCAGCCCTCAACATGCAACATCAGCAATCCCCAAGGAGTGAGAGAACCAGATTTCTAGAGCTATTACATCATAATATTTGGAATGTCCACTTCGCAACCAAAAATTAAAAAGCATACAAAGAAACAGGAATGTATGTCCCATTCACAGGGAAAAAAGAATTTGACAGAAACCATCCCTGAGGAAGCCAGGGCATTGGAATTACTTGTCAAAGATATTAAAGCAACTATTTTAAATATGCACAATGAGCTAAAGGAAACCATGGACAAAGAACTAAAAGAAATCAGGAAAACAATGTATGAACAAAATGAGAATATCAATAGAGAGAAATTATCAAAAGCAACCAAATAGGGGCCGGCCCCATGGCCTAGTGGTTAAGTTGGGTGTGCTCTGCTTCGGCGGCCTAGAATCGGTTCTTAGGCGCAGACCTACAGCACCTGTCAGCTGCCATGCTGTGGTGGCAACCCACATAAAAGTAGAGGAAGACCGGCACAGATGTTAGCTCAGGGCCAATCTTCGTCAGAAAAAAAAATAATTCACTAGAGGGGCTTAACAGTAAATTTGAGCTGGAAGAAATCAGCAAATTTGAAGATAAGGCAATTAAAATAAACCAATCTGAGAAACGAAATTCAAAAAGAATGCAAAAAATTAGCAGAGCCTGAGGAACTTGTGGGACACCATCAAGAGTAACAAGAAACACATTATGGAAGTTAGAAGGAAAAAAGAGAAAGAGGCAGAAAAAATATTTGAAGAAATAATGGCTGAAAATTTCCCATACCTGATGAAAGATACAAGTACACACATTCAAGAAACCCATGAATCCCAAGCAGAAAAAACCCAAAGAAATCCATACATTATACGTGTTATATATATACACATTATAATGAAATTGTCAAACCCAACACAAAGATGGGATCTTGAAAGCAGCAAGAGAAAAGCAACTTTGTCATGTACAAAGGATCCTCAATGAGATTAATTGCTACTTTCTCATCAGAAACCATGGTAGGCAGAAGGCAGCAGGATGACATATATAAAGTCTTGAAAGAACAAAAACCCTATCAATCAAGAATTCGATATCCAGTAAAACTATCCTTTAAGAATAATGGAAATATGAAGATATTTCCAGCTAAACAGAAGCTGGGGAGTTCACTACAGTATATCCGTTTTATAAGAAAGGATAAAGGGGGTCCTTCAGGCTGAAATGAAAGGTCTAGACAGTGAGTTGAAGTCATAAGAAGAAATAAAAAAGACTGGTAAAGGTAACTACTTAGGTAAATACAAAAGCCAGTATCATGGTACTCTTTCTTTGTAACTCCTCTTTTTTTCCTATATGATTTAAAAGGAAAATGCATAAGAAAATAATTACAAATCCGTGTCAATGGGTACACAATGTATTAAGACATAATCTCTGACATAACAATAAAGGGGAGGTTCAGAGAGGCATAAGAGCAGCTTTTCCACTATTCAAACTGAGTCGGCGTTATTCAAACTCAGTTGTTACAAGCTTAAGAAGTGAACTGTAATCCCCAAGGTGACCACAAAGGAAATAACTAAAAAATATATAGAAATGAAAACTAGGAAATCAAAATGGTACACTACAAAAATTCAACTAAATACAAAAAAGGCAGTAATGGAGTTATCAATGAACAAAAAGCATGTAAGACATACAGAAA